TGCAGATGTCTCTTTTCAATAGTGTTTTCTGCTGTATATACACTGAACAAAAATATAAATGCCAACCATTTGTTTTTGCTCCATCTTTACATAGAGAATGGAATCAAAAGATCTAAAATTTTCTATATACACAAAAAACCATGTTCTCTCAAATATTGTTCACAAATCTCGAAAAATGGCGATATGAGCGCACTTCTCTTTGCAGAGGATAATCCATCCCAGCCTCATCAGGTGTGGCATATCAAATGCTGATTAGACAGCATCGATTATTGCACAGGTGTGCCCTTAGGCTGGCCACACTAAAAAGCTGCCCACCCCTGAACAGTGCATTTTGCTTTATTGGGGATCTGGGGGGGGTTCGAAAAACCAGTCAGTAATCTGGTGTGAGGTTACGGGTTACGGGTAACCTGTTTGTGAAGCGAGTGAGCCATGTGTGGTGAGGGTTATGGTATTGGGCAGGCGTATGGTATGGGACGCATGAACACAGCCCTACCGATTCACAACATTACCCTACCCTACGCTAATCTAACCCTCAACCAGATACCTGACTGGTTTCGGACCCCCAGACCCCCAATAAAGCAACAAATGCACGGTTTCAGAGTGGCTTTATTGTGGCCAGCCTAATAGCTCTCTGACGATGGTTTGCTCCATGCCGCGAAGGGAAAAAACAGGAAAGGGAATAGCTCCCAGGAGCCGCGCGCCGAGAGGGGGGAAGAAGAGGAAGAGACAGAGATAGGCGGCCACAATAAAAAGCGCCACTCTGAAACGTTTTTGCTTTATTGGTGGGGGGTCTGGGGGGGTACGAAAACCAGTCTTATCTGGTGTGAGGTGTTCAGGGAGTGGGTTAGGGTTAGGTACATCGTTGTAATCGAGTGGCCGTGATTCAGTCGTCCATACTAGCCTGGCCGCAATAATACCCCGTGAACTATAATCAGACCGCGCCGCGAGAACACACGAGCATCAGATGGCAACCCACCGACCACCAGGCCACTCGATGCCAAATTAACCTCTCATCACCTGTCCTCACAACCAGATTACTGACTAGGTTTTCGACCCCCAGACCCCCCCAATAAAGCAAAAATGCATGTTTCAGAGTGGCCTTTTATTGTGGCCAGCCTAAGGCACACCTGTGCAATAATCATGCTGTCTAATCAGCATCTTGATATGCCACACCTGTGAGGTGGGATGGATTATCTCTGCAAAGGAGAAGTGCTCACTATCACAGATTTTTTCAGATTTGTGAACAATATTTGAGAGAAATGGTTATTTTGTGTATATAGAAAATGTTTTAGATCTTTGAGTTCATCTCATGAAAAATGGGAGCAAAAACAAAAGTGTTGCATTTATATTTTTGTTCAGTGTATATACAGCCAGAAAACACTATTGAAAAAGAGACATCTGCAACATCTTTTAAAGCAGCTGCGATGTAGTTAGTGAGAACTGATGACATAACAGACAATAGGAAAACAACCCTAAGTGTTTGTGGGACTGAAGAGACAGCTGTGGACATCTGGCAGACAGCATTTCATGTTTGGAAAGCTGATGCTCATATTTAGCTTCTTCTTCATGTGTCCTTCAATTTGACACACCAAATAAGAAGAGGGTTGATTAAAAAGTCAAATTTGTTACGGACACCATGCTTCTTTTTTTTACCAAAGTATAATATATTGTAATCATGATAAGTAAACATTTTTACCAAAAATCTGCACTCATAATAAAATACATAGTCATATATTATACAACATGTAATACAATTTTAACTGATTTAAAGGCACCGTTTGACCTATAATGTATAGCATGTTCATCACCTTTACAGCTCAAGCTTTTTTGCAGTGTGTCTGACTATTGTAAATTCAGGAGCACATGGGTGACAATTATTGAAAAACTGTCCATACATCGCCACCGTGTGGTGATAATGCTGCGCTGCAGTGAGAATACATCAGATGCTCACATGCCTTCTAGTCAGCTGTGTTTAATGTCAGGAGTTTTCAGTCATATGGAATATTTCATCCCTAGAGAAAGCACACGCATGAAAAGTACAGTGCATGCTTATGTGAGGCACGTGTCTACATAATATACACAAACACCCTTTTTAGAACATATATAAATTATTATTATATATAAAGTGAAGAAAAATGGAGAGAATGTTCTGTGCAGTCATGCTTGACGGTTGAATATTCATCGTGATTATAACTCGAGTAAATATGCAGAACAGTGAGCAAAAAACAAAGCAGCTGTGTTGGTGCTCTTGTTATTACACAACAGAACCGGGAGCAGATGATTCCCTGAATTAAAACATGTTAACAGTGACCTCTTTAACCTGGCTCATTCATCTGTGTGCACAGATGCACCATTCAAATGACAAGACATCTGACATTTTCCTCCAAAAGCTGTAGTAATAGTGATTTATTCTACTTATATTTACAATGTCAATCTGTTGTTCTGCTTCCCTAAACATAGTCTGGCTGATGTGGAAGTAGACCCCCAGCCATTTTACACAACTGACCTTTCATACTTCGTGGTATAGGTTCTCATTTTAGAGAGTGCAAAACATTCGACCTTCTGTTGAATTGAATGTAAGTCTACAGCTCTTCACAGGACTATTATTATTAATACAAATAATAATAACAATAATAATAATATTACATGGGATTTGTATAGCACTTTTCCTAATGCTTAAAGGCGCTTCAAATAGGTCACAAGAATCTGACTGATGACCTTCTTTCTTATAAAATATAGTATTTTTTCTACCTGCTAACTCGTATGGCTATTTTTAAACCTACATGTGATTTTCCTGTCTATATGTTGCTGGGTGTGTGTGCCTGTGTGCTCACGTAAGGATATTCAGTCGATAACAGAGCGACACAGCGGACTGCAGCTCATTACTGTCGGTCGGGACAGGTTGTAGGAAGGAGGAAAACACATCATTAAACTGGGCTCAACACATTTATCGGCCGCCGTTTAGGGTTGTAAATGTCAGGCATTCATACCATTATTTCAAATGAAATCTAACGGTTGTCTGGTTATTCTGTTTTAACACATAATCTCTCTGTGCTATCTTTCCGGGAAAAGGTCATATGAGCTGAAATTGGACCATCTCTCACTCTCCTGACTTTCTCTGGAAGAAATGCCAGAAGTAATGAAGAGGAAGAAGCTGAGAGCGATGCAGGTGCACGGTATGTCTTGTCTGGGGAACCTTCATACATCAAGAGAGTAATATGTTCTCAAAAACATTATGTGTGCAACATACTGGTACTATAGGACACTGATTATAAACATATACAGAGAGGAATACAAAGAAGTACTGCTGTGCAAGGTACATGAACCTTAAATGAATATGTGGAATATTGTGGTTTTACATAAACTAGGCAGACAATTCAAATCATTAATGTAGAGGTCAACATTAATGATTTTCCACTGAGACAAATTAAAACAATTAGCTACAAACTTGGCCCCCTACAACAACCAAATTAAACGCACACACGCACGTTACCATTTCAAGAAAGATCCCACTACAGCACAATCATCCCCCATTTTATTTTAAGTTGCTTGTAATGATCTTTTTTAATGGATAATTACAAAAACTAATTCCTTCATTGTGAAGTTGAGCTAATTGGGAATTACTGTGGACATGAACCAATAACGCTCAGTTACCATGCTTTCAGTATTTGGCTGCATGGCCTCCTATCAGGCTACATGCTAATTGCTGCTAGCAAACTTAACTTAAATGTTCCGCTAATGGCATTAGCATTAAGGCAATCAACTGATGTGTTTCAGTTCATTAAAAGCAAACCAATTATTTCACTTATCATACAAATATTACAAGCACAAAGATATGACTCTTAGTTTCAGTGCACAATGGGAATGATCAACCAAATCAACCAGTGAGTGTAATCAGTAATCATTTATTGATCCCACATGTGTGCAATTAGCATATCTGGGAAAGTAGAGATTTAATTTTAATGATGATTAAGTGAAGGATGTGGGTGAGAAACACCTGTGTGTGTCTTTGATTTAATTGACATATATATAAACATGAAACTGTTACAGTTTTGTAAAGAAATACATTTAAAATATAAGTTAAGTGTGCTTTATATATTGAATAAGCACTTACCCAAATAAACTTGATCGGTTGAGCCCTAATGTTTGTGTTTTTGAGTAATGTCCCCCCATCAACTGGTAAATGAGAAGAAAAACAACAGTCAGGTAACAGATGGCATCATAAATACATTAGATATCATGTTTCATTAACTCCTAATCACATGATTGCAACTGCATATAAAAGTAGTACGGATTTCAAATTTGAATGCAGCAGTACCATACGTATAATACGGATTTACTAAAGAAAAAAATGAAGACAATAAGTTGCATTACAGCATGTGTGATACATGCATTACACACCACTCTAAAGTATTGATGGTAGAGACAAAGATGGAGGACATAAACCTGCAGTAGGATCCAACAAACTACACCGTGCAGCGTTCGTTGGTATTTACAAATTCAGCAGAGGGTTTTGTGAATACATTATCAGAACCGTCTCTCACTTTGTCCTGCAGAACTCTGTAGGACAATGCTTTCATCTGAGAAAAATAAAATCAGCAGTCAACAGGATAACTCTTAGTATTACATGTGTTTACCCTGCGATATATCTGAGCAGAAATGTCAGTACACCAAATTTGAAATTAAGAAGCATAGTAAGTGCCTTACTTTTATTAATAGAGTCAGAAAGTTGGAAGTAAAGAGAAGAAAACAGGAAGTCAGGACTCAAAGCAAGAGGAACGACTGGAAACGGAGAAAAGACAAATGGCACGTCACATTACCGGGGTTATATCTTTAGTGATGGATCACTGTTAACAGCTCTACTGTATATCCATGAAATGTGTAGTATTATTGGTAGATGTATGTGGCCTCGGGGCGTGTGCTTTAGTGGGAGCATGAGGGGATTCATCTATAAAATAACATATGTACATCTCTCAGAGACACACACACACAGCAGGAGAGTCTGTCATGGTTATTTTAATTCTGCAGACAGGAACGACACAGAAACTGTAGGCGGGCAGATGTGTGTAGCAGAGTTATCATTTACATTGAGATGGGCATACACACTATGTATGTATGTCAGAAAGCTATGTGGAGATTTTTCAGGATAAGAACATACTCTGAAGATTGAAATGCTAACAGCTGGTGCTTTAGAATGTAACTTCTTTTAATACTGAAAAGGAGATAAGTACAACTGAAAATATCCATTATAAAGCCGTTTTGGATGAGCAATTCATTCTTACTTTAAAAGCCTTATTTATGCTCTAGGATTTGAGTAATCTTGGTTAGTTTCCAGCTGAAAAGTCTCCACATCAAGAATGTAATCATGTACACAAGAAGAATTTGATAGGAAAGCAATTGAACTTCAATAATCAGCTGCATCTAGACTGAATGTGAGAATAAAACACAGCACAGGATCAAAAGATAGAAGAGATGGGAGCGAGGGTAGCAGAGAGGAGGGAGAGAGGAGGAGAAGAAGGTCAAAGATGTTGAGGCCTGAGGGTGAAAACATGGCATACTGTATCTATCATATAAATAGATATATATATATTACAGAGACACTATAGGGTATGAACACGTCCCTCATTCTGCTTATTCCCTTTAATACTGTGGCGATTACAGCTGTGGTCATCAAGCCAGTCACTGTAAAGAAATCTGCATATTGAAAGTCCCTTTTCTAAAGAAACGTAAAAAACTAAACATTAAAAACACCATTCAGAGACGAGCTACATTTGCAGAGTTCAAACAACATGTCATGCAGTGAGGAGTAAGATTTTCTTTAGACTTGTGTATGTTTTGTTCCAACATGAAATATTAATACAAAATAAAATAAAAACACCAACTTACTAAATAATGTATAGCAGAGCTTTTAAAACAAGTTATGGCACATTTGAACAGATAATGGCAACACATTTCACATTATTCAAGGATCAATTTCAGGTCATTAAGAAAAATGTATAAATAACATTTTTGGCATAAAACTCTCCATATATATCACTTTCATGCCATTTCATGCATTTCCTAACGTTATGGCACGATGCCCTAAATGTACTGTCTTTGTCAATCAATGATGAACACCTATAACATCTGGTATGAGGATTGATACTAAACATCTGTGATTTGTCAAGCAGGGTAAAAGGGATAGGAGGGCTTTGAACACAGCAAGTAAGACTCATGTGCAGAATATATGATCTGTACCATTTTTTTAAATGACAATAAATAATCTTGTGTCATTAATAAATACACGGTGGATAAGGTACATGAAAGGGGCCTTTAACAGTAAAGCAAGGCTTATTAAAAGCAAAACGACTCTTTTCAGGCAGTGAGTAAGACACCCATGTCTAAGTGACAGTTAATAGGGGACTGTTATCATATTGAGGCAAATTAGAAAGTGAAACAAGGTGTAGAGTTTAAATGAGGTGAAGCACCCAGTAATGTTATTATTTCCTTATGTTTAAATCTAATTGTTAATGTATTTAAACCCAATACTTTAATAACTTGATTTATAGTATATTAAAATGTCCTGTCTGACTTTGTCATAACAATTTTACCGTTAACAGTTGGGAACGTTTTTATTCTCTCCTAAACTGGCGTATTTTTTCGATGCATAATGTCATGATTAATAAAAATGTTTTTAATTCTCAGAAATATAAATTGTAGAGGCGTGTTAGTTTCAATCTAACCTACTTAAAACATTTGACGCTGATTAGATTTTTGGAAAGGTAAAATAAAGGCTTTAGTTAGAATTGGAAATGAATACAAATGGCAAGACGTATGTTGTTTTAAATGTATATTTTCACGTTTTGGAACTACACTTAGCCTTGTTATGGAGGGTTGGAGGATAAGATTGATACAATTCTCTTAAGTACAGTGAATATGGACAACATGATTGTCATTGTTTTTTATATTCTTGTCCAAAATGTTCAAAAACCAAAGTGTATAACAACAATTCTAGTTTTAATACGGTTATGTGTTTTATCGACTGGGACCATTAACATCCTGCAAAATGCCCAGTCATACGTTTGTCAAACGCATAATGTTTTTGTTATACTTGGATTTTGTACAAATACAAGATATAACTTGTATATTGGAGATTGTCCCTCTGCTTGCGGTCGTTAGCTAAGCTAACTGGCTGTAGCTTCATATTTACTGTACAGACATTAGAGCGGTGATATTCTCCTCTAACTCTCAGTAAGAAACATAACCTCAAATGTGAAACTGATACTTCAACAGCTCACATTCTCCAGGAAATTCAAGCTGAACAATTGAGAGGTTACTTACGTCACATGTAATGATTTATGGGTCATATTGTAGTACTTTATATGTCTCATCTCTTACAGTGGGCACCTGTATAACATAACACTCGACTGTCACAGCCTGAGCTGAAACGTTGCCAAAATATGGGATTGTCTTAGTTGAATACATGTTCACTGCTAAAGGAAGTGTGTACGTGATGAAGCTACAGTTGCAAAACACATGTGAGTGTGTGTCTAAGTGAGATAGGTGAAGAGGTAGGGTCAGCAGAGATCCCAGGAAGAGAGAATCATGTCCAGGCTATAGTTGCCTGATGGGGGGGAGGTTGAGGGTCTCCAGAGCACTGTGGTAGAGCTCTCTCAACGCTCTCAACAGATGCAGACGACAAAACATCTGGTTGAACAGATGAGGCAGCGGCTCCTGGAGAGAGAGACAGAAAGACAAGGGGAAGAAGAAACGCGTGGGTGGGTTAAAGAAAGAGAAAGAGAAAGAAAAACAGGGATTTCAGACCAAAAGCAAGATTTAGAAGGAACTCACACTACATACAACTGGTAGGTTTTTTTTCAACATTGTTTACATTTGTCAGTCACAATGAAATAACCAGAACATAGCACACTAATCTCTGTTCAACAGTGAGGGAACATGGACAAAAACGCCTATTTAAAATTGTTTATAAAAGTATTTATAAATATATAAATTAAAAATAGTAATATTCACCAAAACTCACATCTCCTGGGCTCATAATTCCCTTTCAGTGAATAAACACTATCATACTGTACAAGCACAAGACTACGGTTACTGACGACAGTGTATAAATGATCAAAAGTAAATGTATCCTCACCCCCAGCACATGGACTCTGTTGTAGTACGAGCTGAAGTCTTTACTGAGAGACACTAGGAATTTACAGATCTGAGGAACACAAACAAGAGTTAGAAAAACATAATGATGTATAAACAAATCAATGTATATACATAAACATAACAACAGCCAAGTTTGGTTTGATGCCCCTCTTTGTTTAGTGATAAATTAATCTCAATCCCCTGACCTGTTCAGTCTTAATGTTGACTCTGGCTCCTCCCCCTTCACAGTCTAACGCTTGTCCTGATTGGTCCAGCTGCTCGGAGAATGTAATGAGGTAATTGAACAGCAGAAGCCACTCGCCCTGTCAGTCAAAACACAGACAGCATGGAAGGATTAACACTGAAGTGTGTCTGAGGAAAGTGAGAAGAGTTTAACGTATTTTCAATAAAACAACATGCTACCTCCTCTTTCAGAGCAGAGAAGTCCAGCTTGGAGGTGTCAGGGATTTCTGGGTAGAGACCTGCAGGTAAACAGCCAGAAACACGACATAACAAATAGAATACGATACAATTCAACAATGCTAAATTATCAGTTTCTGTGGTTTTATGTATGTATTTTTTTGTTATTTATTCTACAAACTTCTGACAACATTTCTCTGTGTTGGAATTCAACAGACACTGGAATGGAATGTCTGTTGTGGTCTCTTCATTTTTTCCAGAGCTATATATTTTCTTTTCTTAAAATGAAATAAAATACTAAAATAAACAAACCCCAAAAAATGATTGATTTATTTTATTGGGCTGCCTCTCCAACACACCCGTTCAATTATGCTGGCACTTAATGTATAGTTGTATCTTAGTTTATTATATTACATCATCATTTATCGGTTGAGAAAAATTGGAGTCTGTAAAGTAACTTGCTGAGGAAAAAAGTGTAATAGTTGCATCTGACATGTACTGGGGTATAAATATAAGGTAGCAGAATACAAAAATACTAAGTAATGCACAAAACTCAACGAAAAACGTACTATAACTACTTAGTATTGGTTGAATGACTTGGATACTTTTTTGTTACCACTGGTCTATCCCTACTGTCACAGGGATGCACTGCATGTGTCAAATTGTCTCCAGAAAGCAACAAAAACAACAACAGCTTTAGACTGTAGTTCTCACAGACGTCTTCTTGTATGATAAGAAAAGTAGATTAACTATCATTTGTCTAACATTGTAACATCTATACAGGAAGTTAGGAAATAAGACCACTGATGAAAAGACACCACTGTCCTGCATTTCTCTGTTCACCTACAGGACCAAAGTGGCAGCAAATCTTTGATGTCTCTTTTTATTAACAGTTATAATATAGAAGTAGCTCACCACATTCATTGTCTGTATTGATTTCTTTCAAATGTGCTCGACAGAACACTTTTACAAGAGAGCAATACATTCAGCCTGTGATTTATCAGAGAACATCATCACACTCCTGCTGAACTCTTATGACTCTGGCTGTGCCTTCTTCTTTTTAATTGAAATATTGATTTTAAAATTTGATGAAGTATGCCATGTCTTTTTTAATTCTTAGACTAAGTGAATGCTGCCAGGCCGCAGCAGTCTGAGTTAGAGGTTTGTCACGTTGTTGACCAGAGGAATGAAACATGAATCTCTTGCATAACTCACCCTTCTCCACCCCTCTCTCGTAGCTGTCGAACAGAGTGTGCAGTCTGGCGCAGTTATACATCACAAACACTCCTCCTCTCGGCCCTTTGGTGGAGACGCCCCCTTCCCTCTGGACGTCCAGTGTCACCTAAACAGATAGCTGTCAATCATTCTGGCTCCACTTATTAAAGATCAGAGTACATTGTCATCAGTGACCTTATTCTAATGAACCAATATGGCACTTTTTGACAAATACACATCAACTAAATGCATGGTCTGATGTTAGCACCCATCATTGGAGGTGGCACATAAAAGAGAATAATTAGTGCGAGTGAATGTGTTTTTTTCCTGTAAATACGTGGATAACATTGAATGACTACATTTTTCACAACCACACAGCTGATGATGACTCACAGGACTGGTGTGGACCGTTGACAGCAGCTCAAATCTGACGGTGGCAGAGGTCATGACCCTGATGATGTCATCCCACGTCTGACCTACAAGAGGAAAAAGAGGAGGAGGTTGTATTTCACTGCAGGACACTCCTTTCACATTCAGCATCTGTCAGTTCAATGTGATGACTGAGGAGCAGATGATTCAAAATCTCCCTCATGCAGGAAGCGATAACATGTCCTCTTATTTTTGATCATGTCTTAGGTAAAGTCTTTCAAGGTTTTCTGGAACACACCTACGTGATAAGGCCCAAAGATTCTAATTTCATGGACTACAAAATATCCAAAACATTTGAGAAGAATAAAAGAACTCGTAAATATCATAAAACATTGTTTATTTTGTGTTTTAGATTTATTATAATCATCAGATTATTAAAATATTTTCCTCATGCACACCTCTAATTTGTGTTCAAGTAGAATTTTAATTATTAGCTCATCATGGTGAGAGTAGACTTGTATAGTTAAGGACATTTTGTGTATCTGGAGTCGACTTCTCTCTCTCTCAACAGAAGATATAAGAGACATTTAGGACAAAGTTGCTTCATGAGGCACATTACAAAGAGGATGTACATAAATACGCACCTTCTACCTGATCTCCATACTTCATCTCTGAGGCCTCCTTCATCTGACCTCTTCTCAGCCTGCAGGAGAGGAAACCAAGGCCCTTTTTAGACATGTACACAGACAGCTGGCCTAAAATGACTACGTGATATCACAGAGATCTCTTAAAGCCCTATTAACACCAACGAGTGTTCTTTTAATTTAGTTTAATTAGAACTGCAAAGTCACAGTGCAGATGAGATCCTAGTGAGTGTTTGGTGATAATAAACCTCTGTCTACTGGAGAGTATAACAGGGAGACAGGACAGAGGGAATATAGAGGACATATAGAAGGAGACAGAAACTTTGAGAATACACAAGAGAGGAGGCAGACAGTGAGATGTGACCTACTGCAGATACTGTGCAGCGGTGAGGTGAGAGCCAGGAGTCTTCACCGGCCCACACACCAGATGTCTCTGCAGACACAGAGAGAAGAGCAGGTAAAGATAGGAACACATACATGGTGTGTGTGTGTGTGTGTGTGTGTGTGTGTGTGTGTGTGTGTGTGTGTGTGTGTGTGTGTGTGTGTGGTTACCTGCGTGTGTGTCGCTCCACTGGCTCTCCACAGCACTGCTATCTGCTGCTGGCGGAACTCATCCTGACAGGAAGTCACATGTAACACTGTTGCCATGGCTACCTATAGAAGAGGAAGCAAGGGCATATGAAGTTTTATGTCATTTTTAATAAGAAAAAATGTGTTTGAAACTGCATAGTGTGTGTGTCTTACTGTGCAGTCGGCAGTGGCTCGGTCCAGCTGCGCCAGGTGGGAAACACTGTCCCTGTGAACTGGAACAGATACACAAACATGTCCTACCAGTTAACATTACATGCCAACTATCTGCTTAGCTACTCTTCTATTAGAGGCATGGTAACACTGCCAATGGTTTGAAGGAAATAGTTAAGCATTTTGTGAATAACACTAATTAACGTTCTATCATAGTTGAGGGACTTAACTTATATTTATATTTTAAATGTTTACGGTGGAGTTTTGACCTCTAGGAGTGCTAAGTAGTGGTTAAATGTTGGTTGATAAATGACCCATTAAGAGGACCCATCTTGATGACCTGTTAAACTGTTCTGCTAGTATTTCACACAGTTCCACTGATTGATAGGTGGCAGTAATGCTCCAATATACACAGTACAAGAAAAACACTTTCTCTAAAACATGGATGTCAACAATAATTTTAAAAAAAAGCATTTGCAAACCAACGTAAAAAAAAAAAAAATTGGTTTGCAATTTGGATCAAGGTAATAGCACGTGACACTTATGTTAGACCTTAAGGATACAAACAATGCCATTTGGTTATTAAAAGTGATTGTAACATCATAGGAAGTAGGAAACTACTATGGGGACCTTTAAGTATAGAGTTGGAAACAACTAGCTTAGCTCAGCATAAAGACTTGAAGCAGGGGGAGCAGTTAGCCTGGCTTTACCCAAAGGTAAAAACAAGCTCATGAATAAATATGTCATATCTTGTTTGTTGAAAACATGTCTTTGAGGCCTCACCTGTGCAGGTACCGATGCTGGGGTCGTATCCCAGCAGCCCCTCCTCCTGGAACACGCGTTTCAGGTTAACCCTGAGGCCTCCCTCATTCTCCCCTTCCTCTGCCTTCCTCCCTCCTCCTCCTCCTCCGCCGCCTCCTCCTCCTCCTCCTCCTCCTCCTCCTCCTCCTCCTCCTCCGCTGGTTCTCCTGCCTCTTTCTGTTTCCCTCTCTTTGTATGGGGAGTTCTCCAGCGCATCCTGAATCTTCTCCTCCCGCTCCTCATTGGTCCAGTTGGCTGGAGCTGTCGGCCAATCGATGCCCAGGGCTCGGAGAAAGGTGATGATGTTGCTGTCTTCAGGAAGCGTGGGGCAGTAAGACACTGCCAATCTGGAACAGGTAAGGAGGTTTTTAGTGATTAAAGTGGGGTTTCCTTCTATGGCTGATAATTAGACTTATATTTTATACACAGATGATGGAACAATTAATTTGACTGATGAACATTAATAAGTAAGAAAAGATTGAAACAAAGCCTACAAATGTATCCCCAATACCCATACAAGCAACAAAATACAAGGTTTTTTCTTGTTGATAATAAACAACATAATTTAAAGACCCCTTGATAGAGTAAAACAATTAAAGTGTTAGGCACAAGATAGTTCAGAAATGTGGGATTAACCTGTAGATTTACCCTTGTCTTCTCAGCAGCACCCCCATGTGGTCAGCCAGCAGAACAGTCCTCAGCTGGCCCAGGGTCAGTGTGTCAGGAGTGGGTGTGTTGGGTTTAGGGTGCAGCGCGGGGCAGTTGAGCACCACACAGCCCTGCCTCTGGCCCGAGGGCTTCAGGTACTCTGTGGCTGCATCTGCCAGGACAGCTTTGAAGGCTGCGGCCCGGTCCACCCTCACCCTCAGACCCTCACCCGTTACCTCCCCACCGGCCACAGGGAGAACCCCACTGCCACGCAGGGACAGGACCCTGGACATCACTGCTGGAGGGACCTGGGCGGAGATAGCAGGTAATTAGAGACTAATGTATGCATGCATGCATGAATTCAACTTTATGTGAGAAGAAGAAAAAAGGAATTGTAGGTAATTGTTTATCACTTTTAGTTAACTAATCATATGTAGAATTACACTACACATGGTAAACAGTACAGTTAAATGTATTGGACAAGAGAACAGCTCAGCTCAGAAATAAAAATGCATCAGCACAATAAGAGCACTAGTCATGTAATGATTGAATTACAATGGATAGGGTGCCTAATATAAAGTATAGTACCAAATGTATATACGTAAAAGAAGGTTTTTGGGTGCATATGCATACAAACTAGAGGTGGTTTGATACAGTGAAATAGCATGCAACTGACATAAGAGGATATTGTACTAGCATGTCATTTAAAATCTTAGTTCACATAGATGTGCCTGTCTAAAAAACGTTTCCCCTTGCATTTTTGTTCATGATCTTATAGAGATGCATATCAATGGAAACATATCAGATGTTGGCATCTGCATACAATCTGCTCCTAGTAATAGGATGGGTTAAAAGCAGAGAACAGATGTCACTGTGTGTGCTGTGTGCTCTGCATGTGTGACCATTAAAGAGGGTTTCATCCCTTCAATTATAGTCTATCATTATACATGTTGACAACATGTCAACAACATGATGTTGTTGATGTCACATGTTGATACATCATAGAAAAATGTGTTAATATTTATAAGGGGACATAATCTTAGTTGCGTCCTATTTTGAGAAAGACTGACACGAACAAGCTATGCAGGCCTCCGTGTGTTAATGTTGCTGCACAGTTAGACTTGCTTCTCTGGCTTGCAGCTCTATGCGTGTTTGACCCATATTTCATCTGCAGCTCACGGGTTAATAATTACTGCCGCAGGCTGTTCATGTCTGGTCGATCATGATGGGGCCACCGATCAATTCAGCTGTCTCAGTAGTCAGTACCACTCAAAAATTAACATTTGGGGATTTGAAGGATTCGAGTCAGCATTCAGTTATGTTTTTCTGTCAGCTGAACTCAGCTGAGCGTTATGAAGCAGATAATTCCGATCCCCAGCCCCTATTGGCCAGGTCACGTTCCGAACAGTGAAAGCACCTTCCGTCCATTTAAATATTAATGCGCTAAACAAAAACACCTTCACCACATCGAACACCAGGGGAACTATAATGCTGAGTGGAAGAATACAGTGTCAAAGCGTGACAAGTTTCAACTGGCTAATGGCTATGTCTAACACCAGCTAGCGTTTCATGAGAGGGCTATGGGTATCAAGCGGTTTTTAAAAAGGACTCCTTCAGTGAATATATCGTTAACATAAAACGTATTAAACAAACTGTAGAATAAACCCCTTCATAATAACGTTACTAGAAAACCCAACAGGTATCAGTCAAACCAACCTGCCCGTCCGCATACAGCGTGTTGAGCATCGTGGTCGGCGACAAGAAGTCCCTGTTCCGGAGGTTTTTAGCGCTGCTCTCCTTGAACCATAGCTTCTCCGTCTCAGGGAAGATCCTTTCGCCGTTTTCCCGGCTGCCATCGAGGACATCCTCTCGTTTCACCCGCAGTGCGGAGCTCAGCGCCCGGACGGTCGGGGTGATCCGGAGGGGCGAATACTCCTCGGTGTTCTCCATCAGCAACACTAACAGGTGAGCTACCACTGCCAGGCTATCAGCACATCCACACCCTGCTCATACCCTCCGTTCAGACCCGGTGTCACTGCTCGCTGTGATGCAGGCTTTACTAAGCTCCAACACCGCTGAACATGCCAGTTACAGCCCTACGGGGAACCGCTGATCGATGTCAGATATCGGCTGTGAAGAACGACTGCATTGGATGTTTTTTTCTTCCTTTGCGGAACTAGTGTAGTGCAATCCGTGTTTCTTCCGAGGTGAATTTACGTGTCGGACCAGTGGAATATGCTTAATAGCGCCCTCCAGTGTGTGGCAGAGTAACTGTAACGGTATGGCCAAAAACTTGTGGACACACACTTGTCTGCATTATGTTTGAGCAATATTTCCTGTAAGAGTGTTTCGCAAATATTTACACTCTTGATCTTCTCCTTAGATCACTATGCTAAGGTTTTCGTGATTGATGTTGCTGTAAATTATTGTCTTCTGTTTGCTATTGTAGTAAAGTGTTTCTATTGCATGTACAGCACTTTGGCTCGACCACATTTTTTTTAAATGTGCTGTATTATAAAAATAAAACATGATTTGTTTCGAATGGCCCCTTTTAGGTGAGTGTCACTCAGGTCTCAACAAGCATCTGGGAACATTGGAGGAAGCAGATGAGGGGGAGCAGTACAGGCCACCAGAACACATGCAGCCCTTCAACACCAGTACGTTAAAGTTTTAAGGAAAAATGCAAACCTGCTGGGTCCTGAGGTCCAAAACGTATAGATCACGTTAAACATTGAAAGAAAACACTGCACAAACTGAGACATAATTATAAGAAGTTGGCTTGGGAACTGGAGGGTCACTGGTTCCAGTAACCAAATCAAAGTGGGGACTGGCACCCTGTGGCCGTTTATATAATAAATGCCCACTGCATCTTATATTAGGATAGGTAAAATACTAAATCTACATTTCTCTGCGTGTGCATTGCTGTGTACCTGAGTGACGATTGAACGTGGACGCGATTCAAATCCTACATTTCCATAAACAAATATATTTAAATAATTGATACACATTTTAAAAGGCTACAGGGACAGCTTTTCCAAATGTTCATCATAAACTTAGTCTGGAGCTTTTTGGTCTGTTGAGGTGGGCTTTGGCTGCGGCATCAGTATCTGTGTGGTGTCTGTAGAAACTGCAAACACTGTCAGTACATCCCAAAATATACCAAACTGCCCTTTATAGTGAGAAAAATAGCCCACACATTTAAGATGTAAAATAATCTGAAACTGAGCACTTTGGCCACAAACTGCCACAGAATGAGGAAGCATTTGTCATCGTGCCTCCTCCAAGTCATGTGAAAAGTTGCTTCTTCCACCCATCAGAAATACTCGTTCTGCAGAAAGTCTCACCAGAGAATGTAATGATAGAAAACACACCTCAATCAGACACAGTAGAAACAGTGGAACACTTGACAAAACAGCGTTTATTAGTTTTTACACTGCTCCAACAGTTTGACAGTTTCAAAGAAGAGAGACTGAATAAGTTACTGATATAAAAGCGAAAGTAAAAAGGCACTGACAGTTACCATCGTTGATTATGAACCCTGCTTTCAGGAGTGTTCGTGGTGGAGGACGCCGGGCTGCAGAGGCTGATGGACCATGAAAAGGAAATGCACGACAATCTGATGAGTCAGCTGATCATGCATGAAAGGATCAGCTGAGGAAACCACGAGAGACACCCTGGACTCGTGGACGGGATATTGTTGAGGTTCCCTTCACCTCACTGCCCTGACACTTCCTTTGGGAGCGACATTGGAGAGCGTTATTCAGGTGAAGGGAACACCGCTCTGATGTGCCTAAGCCCTCGTATTTTTCAACAGTGGGCCAACTGAGATCATGTCCTCTTTAACGTGGACTCTGCTCAGTTGTGTCTAATAAAAATCCAGGACACATTACAGTCATGCTCTCTGACTCACTGCTCATATAATGTAGTGTTTTTATCAATTTATTTAACCTTAAAACGATACCATTATAAAGTGATTGTGGCTAAAAATACCAAAGGACTATGAAGCTGCATCATATTAATAAAGACATTTAATATGACAACATTCCCCCTAAAGAATTATGTTAAATATCAATTCCAATGCAATTTTACATTCAGATGAAGCCCATTAAAATATGGCCAGGGAGACCCGTGATACTGCAAACCTTTTTCTATCCTAACAATAAAGATAACAACAGGACCTTTTCATGCTTGTTTTTACATTCAAATAATGTACCAGAATTTAAAGAAAGCATTTCTGTGTCAACAATTCATATCATATCATATTTGAGCTGTGCTGCCCAAATTAAGGGAAAACCAGAGTAAGCTATTTAAATATATATATGGTATGTGTACACACCACTGTTACAATGTAGTGAAGGAGAGAGAGCTCCTCAGTAGTTTGTGAATGCTCAGTGTGACGTCGCACAGATCATAAATGCTAAATGGGAAATGTACTCAATAACTGAACAAACATAAGGAGAATAATACAAAATATATACATTTAGAGTTATTATATAGAGAACATAAAAGGAATGTCCACTTTAAAAAGTGAGAATTCCAAATGATGTGCAGTTGGTGCTATAGGTGTCATTCTTTGCTGACACGAAATTCCCGGTTGCGTTTCCTATTCTCAGCAATCCGGGAGAAAACGTGTCATTGAGGAAAAGCACCTTCAAACTCAGTCTTTACGCTCCTATACATCCGGGTCAAAATGGAAAAGCAGCATATAACAGAGACCATGGTATTCATTTAACTTTCCTTTTGTGTTTGAGAGAAACAAAACCAATTCACTTTGAACCATCTACATCAGAATGTGTAGACTGGTATAAGCTAAACTGGTTTTGGTTTTATACTAGTCAACGGAGGCATGTATATTTTATACTTCTCTATACCATTACCAGTGTTATAGATCAATCGTTTTTCCCTAAAGAACAATAAAGTTAAACTGATTTAAGAAATTCCGAGTAATCTCCTTTGATCAATGATTTGTGAGGAACCTTCTTGTTGATAAAAAAGTGTTCTAACTCCGCCGGTGCGCTCGGGACGTCCTGTGCATCATGGGATGGAAACGGAGCCTATAACCAGCTGGAGCTCAGAATTACAGCTGCATTATGGGTTCCGTTACAATCCCACCCACTAAAACGAGCTCCAGGCCCGGGCTCGGGTCATCAGGTTAACACAGCTCAAAAGAAAAGGAACAACAAGTTATTAACTGGGATACAGCTGAAGCCTGCAAGTGTCTTAGTCCAATGATTATATTACATTATTTTTGGATTACAGAAAATATGTCTGATGAATTCAATATGTAAAATATGTGATTGGTAAAGGACAGCATTCTACAAAACCCAATTCATTCATTTAGAAATGTGGGAAGATGGACCCTTTAAATCCATTCTAAACAGCTTGATTTAAGCGTATTAGCCAAGAACGTAATATACATAATGCTGGTTGTTAAACATCAAAACTATTTGTGTTACTAGCTCCTCCAATTTTCCACCTTCAGACACAGAACTGTAGGGTTATCTGAAATCACGGGTTATTGGTTTAACATAAAACAAGGTCATCCATCAACTCAGCTGTAAGTGGTTGAAAAGTCACCACAAATCAATGTAATCACATTTATTTTTTACAAAGGAAAGCACCACGAATGCTTATGATCAAACTGAAATCAAAGTATTGATGTCTTATGAAATTGGGTTGTGAGAAAATATGATGCAATTATTGCTATATTTTTCAATCTAAGCACATTTCAAAATCATTGTAAATCACAATGCATTGTTTAAAGACTCTTTGGTAATATAGTCTTTTTGAAGTAAACCGTATATACAGCGGCTGTGAAAAGGTTTCCATGTCTGGTCAGACAATATTTGAAAATGTGTATCTTAGCAACTGATAGATAAGATCAATCTTAAAGGAAGTACTGGTAATTGTTTATCAAGTTTTCCCAGACTGTCCGTTGGATGAGGAATGCCTATCACTTACGGAATCACAAAGGTAGCTCTTTGTCTTTTTCAAATGGTGCACCATCTTGAAAAACCTGTTGTATCATCTGTTAGGAGCCGGGAAATAAATAGAAAGTTAAGTAGCAGTTAGGGCCACGAGAGGTCAGCAAGGACGACAAGGAAGAACAATTGAATGACAAATGATAGGGGAGTGCTGGAGAGAAGACGTTTACATCATATGACTCTACCTCTGTGGCTAAAAATAGCCTTTAGACACTTATTCAAAGCAGCATTCATTTCTCATTCTCAAAGGTTTGAAAAAGCCTGAAAATGAGAACTCAATCTGGACAGAAAAGAGGCAGTTGGTGAAAACAGAGAGGACTTAGATGACCTTTCACTTTGTCACTTTGACTTCCACCCTTGATAAAGAGGGCTTTGCCGGACAATATAAAGAAAGTTAAAACACCAGGCAGTTTGACAAGCAGTACAATGAGATTTGTGAGAAGAATGTAAGGACAAAGTGAAACAAGTCAAAGCAGGACAAAGGGAGAGGTGAGATGAGGACTGTGATAAAGCCAATAGTGAAAGCAAAGTGGAAATAAAGAAAGACACGGGTATAAATAAAACATTCACATGATTGTAAAGTTTGAATAATAGTTTCTAAGAGTTGTTCAGCTCACCAACATCTCGGAGCAGCAGCAGCGTCCTCCTCTGTTGTCCAGTCTGCCAGCAACTCAGGGAGTCACACTTCCTCTTTAAATACTCACAGAGACTGATTTCACTTTCACTTCTCCTGACAGGACTCCCTCCCTTCTCCTGCTGGACAGACTGTCTTCATGTTGTCTTTTGAAAGTTTCCTAATTTCAAATACACCCCAGGTCAACTTAAATGCTTACTTTGTAAGGTGGTTTATATCTTTACCATTTGAAAATGTCATTATCGTGTGTTTTTATAAGAATGAAAAAGGCCAAAACATTTGTTCTGATTGTTCTGAAAGTATTTAAATCTTGTATGGACAATTTTAAACTTTTGCTCACTCTGTCAATGTTCAAAGGCTTCATTAAATGTAGGAAAAACACTATTATTTGTTATAACATATTGCATATCTTTTGATATAATCGTATGAGTTCATAGATATCAAATGCTTGATTGTGCTCATTTTAGTTTCTGAAGCATAATTCTTTTTTATCATATTGTATTTAGTATGTGGGCTCATGAGACTGCTTTTTGTCATCAAATTTATAGAAAACAGTAGATGTACCTTAATACTAAATGTAGTATTACAAAAGATACATTCTGTTTCCTTTGACCCTGAACAGCTCTGTTCGATGTCTGTTTCTTTCAAAACACTATAACTACAGAATCTTTACTTTGTAGAATGTATAGTAGACAGAAATACTAAATGAAAAATGGCTGCAGTAAAAGCTCGATTAACAAGAAATTGTTGCCAGAAATCAGCCAAAATACACAACAACCATGGCCTTTAGTTTCTAATATATACAAATGAAATACACAGATTCAAAAAGCAAGGCACACAAGGGGAAACTGTTATAATCTACACCAGGGGTGTCAAACTCAAGGCCCGGGGGCCAAATCCGGCCCACGACTTCATTTTATATGGCCCCGCAAGAGCTTGCAAAGAATATAACACGTATATTATACGGTTACATGCCACTTTACAGAAGCAGGTTGCCCATAAACTACATGTCCCACAATGCATCTCGTTTTGTGACATGCACACTGAAGAGACTTGCAATTATTTGCCCTGGACTTCTGCTTTCAGACGTAGTTAATTACTAAGTTATTATCCTATCCA